ACAGGTTTGCAAAGAGTATAATAGTCTACGAATTTCAAAACTAGGATGCTAGGGAAAACCTTAGTTGCCATTAACGTTTGTTGAACTTATACTGTTCCGCAATTGCGGGAAAAAAAACGTCTGAATTACCGGATTCTCAAGGACCTTTCCTCTTCAAGAGTCTGCGTTAAAACATTTACGACTAAGTCATATTCGCTGGGATCAAGAGCCATTTAATGGAGCGAAGCGACTAATGTCAAAGCAACACGCGCTCGGCAGCCAATCCACTACGGTGAAGTGAAATCAACCAAAAACGTGCGACTTTGTTGACAATTTTAAAAAACTGCCATCTGAGGATACTGAAATGTGATTTAGACAATCAAGAAGACACAGAAAGCCGGTTCCCTGGTATATGGGCATACGTAACATGCCAAATTTTTCCATTTCAGATATGCAATCTGAAATGAGCTTTTCCTGAATTTTTCTATACTTTTACTTAGGTGCCAGGCTTTGGCAAAATGGCTTGTCGAAATGTTAAAGCCACTTCAGAGGCGCCTGTATGCTAGAAGCCCGAAATACATTTTTGACAGCTTCGAGACTATCAAAGATACTTATATTGGCGAAATGATGACGCTTTCATTAGCTGTATTTTCACTGTTTAACAGAGCACCGGTAGTTGAAACCATAGAGTACCTTTGCGACATTATACGGGAAACAAACTACCAGATTGGGATGATAGTGGAGGCGCTAAAATAAATACCGACGTGCCGTACACAAAATTTACAACTTCTCTGCAATAGCCACCTATACAGGCAAACAGATGAAGTGACGATGGGTTCACCATTTGGGCCATTTCTCGCAAATGTCTTTCATGAGCAAGATCGAGGAAACGAAGATCAAAGACAATATCAATGACCTGGAGTTCTATGGTTAATACGTGGATGATATCTTTTTGCCAAATCTATGTGCATGAATTCTTCCCCCTGCTCCTGCGAAACGGAATATATTTGCCGCACTACGGGACGTCTGGAAAAGAGAGTACACAAGCACGTACCAGTCTGGCTCAGGAAATGATAGGATAGATCGAGTTCAAGGTCAATCCTCGCCCACCTTATTGATAAGAAACACCAAATGCACGCGAGAAAGGCCTTTCGGGTCATACACCACACGCTGACACAATACTCTAAAGGTTTGTACAAACGGGTGCTAGCCACAGCAGATGCAGTCGCAATCTGTTTAGCAAAACCCCATTTCTGCTTCCACAGACGCTAGTACAAGCAATCTGCCTCACATGGCCGACTGCACGCAATAATCTCACGACAACTGAAGCCACGCCGTCCGTAAACACACCAAACGAAGCCACAGAGAGTAGTCAAGCGCACGCTGCGCGGCTGACGTATGGACCTCAACCCGCTGACCGCGAGAACATCTCAATATTGTCTCTGCGCATCG